TTGAACAGTTAGTAACAGCAAAATAATTTTTTTTTTTTTTTTTTTTTTTTACTTTCATCAGCCATCGTTTCATCGCAATGCGTCTTTTTACAACACCGTCACAAGTAGCGACTCATTACATGATTTTTGGGGCTGCAACCATCTGGCGGTCATCCTACCATTGCTATTGATTCTGTCACTTATTTCTGTCCCCGCTTTCTTGCGGAGAAAAATGCAATACCACACCATGAAAATATTCACATTTTGACATTTTACTGTTGTCTCATTATCACATTTTTATTCGTTTCATCTTTACCAATCACTGGTACAGTTGGCAACTTTTTTCACGTTTTCCGTAATCGAGCTACACTATCCGATGTTTATCATGTTAGCACTAATGATCCGAACATCCTTTTTTTTTGTTACCTTTTTTTCAGTACAGTGTGCAGAAATTTCCGCAGCTGTTTCTTCAACACTGGTCTTTCTGTCTGACTAAGTCGAAGCGCTTTATTACTTTATTCAGAATGTGAAAATATATGTAATATATGTAATATGAAAAGTATTTGAGGTTAATGAATGTTTTGGAGCAAGTTATACCAAGTTTTTTTTCCTTGTGAAAATTGTTATTTGTGCAAAGTCATTTTTTTCTGCAGGTGTATGTTGGGGACGGAAAAAATTTGCTTTCTGCACGAGTACCCGTCAACCCTGATTTTTTGTTCCAAAGTCCAGCAACTGGTACAACCACAGCGGCAGCAACAGCCTCACCGTTCTACAATCTGCAGACGTTTCCCGGCTGCTATCAGCCATCAGCATTTCCCCCGATCACCCCCGCATATCTACACTCAATTTGGCCGCAGGGTTGGCAATCGCCGGCAAGGACAATAGCTCATTTCCAGCATCACCAAATGCAGTACCAGCAGCAACAGCAACAGCATCAACATCCGAAACATCATCTACCGCCTGACTTGGTTTGTTGTGGTTTTCGTTGAAAGTGCTGGACATTGTCATTATTTTTTATCGTTGTTACTGAATTTCTTCTTTTTCTTCAGGCAAATTTCAGAAATTACAAATCTTCTGTTAAATCGAATTTACCGGTTTTAGAAATTATGCCATGATTTTGGACGAATACATTTATTAAGAGGTATGTCATCCAGGATTGAGGAAAAGGCCTGGCCTAGTTGCTTCCACCCCTCCCCTCCCCTTCTCTCTCCCCTCCTCGCCTATGTTACGCTCTCGCCTAGTATTTCACTTATATGCGATCCCCAGGATTTTTTCGCACTCGGCACTAAACACCCAGGTTTTATGCTTTTTGGATCTTCGATAATGCAAAATCGCATACCGCCATCTTAGTGCCGTTAGTCCAAGCAGATTTCTACTGAATTGGTTGTGTGTTACAGCAACCGTACGTCCAGCTGACCGGTGCAACGTGGATGGCTGATACGGCTGCATCACTGATCGGTACCACAGATTCTCAACTACGCTCGGTCGGGCACCACCAACAGCACCAACTGCAGCAGCAGCAACAGCAACAGCAGCAACAACAGCACCAACCATCGCTGAAGGCAACAGCTTCGGTGCAGACCACGCTCACGGGTCCACTGCGACCCGATCCTGATACTGCTGCCGCAACACGATCAGCTGCTGCTCTGAGTAGCTCCGGCCCGTACATGCAGTCGTTTACGCAGCGTACGAGCAGCCCGCGCACATTTGCGACATCCGCTACTCTTGGCACTTCCCACAGCAGCGGTGCAGCGGTAGCAGCAGTGCAGCACGCTTCGCCGATCTTACGGAGCCACGAGGTACAGAAGATTTCCAGGTCAGATTACGTTCCATTGACAGTGGCAGATGTAGCCGAGCACGTCCCTCTAGCTTCGCGGGTGCAAGGCATTGCAGGGTCGGATTGCGTTCGGCCATCGCCAGGAGCCACCGAGCACGTCCCGGTAGCTTCTTCACGGGTTCACGAGGAGCAAAGAATTATAAAGCCAGAATGCATTGGAGCGCCGGGACCCGAGCACGTCGTTGCTTTGGCTTCAGGTGGGGGACATGAGCTGCTGAGGTTCCCTAAGCCAGAATGCGTTGAGCAGCAGCATACCCCATTAGCTTTGCAGACCCATGAAATGCAGCGGAGGATGGCGGCAGATGGTGGTGGTGGTGGTGGTGGTGCAGCAGCAGAAGTAAAAGTTGAGCATGATTCCCTAGTTTCACCGGTCCATGAGACACAAAAACCGGCCTCTAGGCCGCCGGGATGCGTAGCAGCGTCAGAAGCAGTTGAATTAGCTGCTGCTTCTCAGGTGCGCGAGATGCAGAGAACTCCAGCTGCAGCCGCTGCAGCAGCTGCAGCTCAAGCTACTCCATCCACTCTTGATAGTGTGAAGCGTGCCGAATGTGATAGTTCGGTACCGAGTCCCCCAAAGACCACTACCAGTCAGGTGAGCATGCTCGGTGGCCCTGCTATGACGATGCATCGCGATGCCGCAGCAGCAGCAGCTGTTGCTGCTGCTAGTCATGCTTCAGCAGCAGTAGGGATAGTAGAAAACGCGCACATTCAGGCTCAGCATGTTCAGGTTACTCCAACGGCGCCAGCGATAGCTGCTAGTAGGCGTACATCTTGCGATAAGGCAACAGAAACAGTCGCAAAACTGAACGCACGTGCTATACCTACTTCTCCGACGGCAGCAAGAGCAGCAGCAGAAGCAATAGTAATAGCAGCAAGAGCAGCAGCAGCAGTAGCAGTTCCGGATCGGGGCGTCTCGTCGCAAAGAGCAGCCTCGTCGCAGCCCATTGTTGCATCAACGCAGCTGCAGCAGCATCAGCAACAGCAGAATCCTTGCATTGCTCGTACTGTGCCTACTCTGGGACGAGGACAATCTCTGGAGGAGTTACAACGAGGTATACCTTATTCACGTTTAATTATTATCATCATTTTTATTATTATTATCGTTGTCGTTATTATTATTATCATTATCATTATTACCATCATCATTATTATCATTATCATTATCATTATTATCATTATCACCATCATCATTATCATTATCACCATCATCATTATCATCATCGTCACTGCTATTGTTTGAACTGCTGCTCTTTGTTATTTTTCGTATCAGCTAATCAGCTGGATCCGTTTAAAGGCACGGGCTCTAGCGGTATTTAGCGAGCACTGAATGATAATATTTTCGCCCAGAGCTGGGTACCACTATAATCCTTTCAGTGTCACGTAACACAGCATCCGTTTTCTGCATCAAAATCAGAATTTCTGGGTTCGAATGAAATCGCCAAAAGCTCTTCCTGACATTTACAACCGACTATGTCGGACGAAAAACAATTTAGAGCATTCAGAAAGAGGTACTGTACTGAGAGGGAGTACGGTAAGACGGATGAGGCAGAGTTCCCATCCCCCGGACATCACAAAAGCGACGAACGGCGAATGAGTGCAAAAAATGAGAGAGTGCGAGAAACTGCCGAAACTAATAGATCTGAAGAAGCCGTCAGTGCCAGTACGCCAGAGGCAAATGTCTGTCGATGTAAATGTACGGCGTACTGTCAAAAGTAATACATGTAAAGACAAAATTGGCAATACTACCTTCTACCAGTAGTAGGTATGTATGCTGATATGAACGCATAAAAAATATTCGCATCATATCTGAGACATGAATTGTAAAATTGGAGAGCAGAATGATATCTGCTATCAGAAAAAAAAAAAAAACATCATTGCAAAATCATTGCTTAAACCGAATTACGCAGAAATAGCTATGCACTGTGTTGCCTGTATTGTGCCAGACGCGTTCCTTATGTAGTGGATTCTTTTATGTAACATTTTATTTTTCTGGTCTATGTTTATTATTAACTGTGAGTGACCGATTTATGGTCTCTTACCGAGCAAACAAACTATTGTACAATATATTTTATTAAGCAGATGATCGCAGCAACCAGGATGACTCTGTAAGCCAAACTGGTGAGAGCATGATGGATAACAGTAGGAGATGAGATAAGACGTTTTTGTCCATTAAGTCATATTCTCCTTTATTAAGTTGTAAAGAAGGACATTTTTAGCGTCTCAGTCTCAGGAGTCTCAAGAGAACATTTTTAGCGATATTTAACCCCATTTTATTGCTAGATTTGACGAGAAAAATCAGTGGAACGTGTGCTTGCTCAAATGCTGGTGCTAGAAGCTGGCAAAGTACAAAAAATCCAAATTTATCTGTTTAAAACGGTTAGCTAGAAGACATCCCCAACGACTTGGAAGAACAATAGGTAGACCTTCGGTATGTTGCACTGGCTCGACTGTATGAAATACATGTGGATGCGGAAAGCATAAGTTCCTTTTTGAATCTACGAATCAGCAGCTTTGCAAGACAAACATACAGTCAAGCTACACTTTAGCAGCTTTTGAAAAAGGCTATTTTCGATTCTGCTTGATAACATAAATGTGCGGTACTTTCAGAGCATGCAGCAGCACGGAGTTACCGACTGGCTGGCCTGGAGGAACTCACTGAAGATCTGCTGGAATATCCACCAGCACCGGCAGTGATTACTTCGACAGAAGCCCCCAGTGCATCTGTAGAACCAGCGGCAGCAACAGTAAGACAAGAGCCTGAGGCTGAGGAGACGTCGGAGCGAAGGGAGACAAGGAAACCGCCGAGCTCGCCGAAAAGTAAATTTTTGCAAAACCTATTTTTTCAGAAATTTTACCAGGCAGTTTTACACAGTCTCCAAATATTTACAGCCCATTAGTTAACTTTTTGGCGGAAATGCTCTTCAGCAGCCCGGAACAAAATCCTGTTTGTTGAGAAGCTGTGCAGCACTGTTGATCTTTTAGGTCGTCAATTTTGAGCATGAACAGTTAGCGTTTTCTTTTTTTAGGTGATACCAGAAACTTTTAGGCCCCAGACACTATTTTTGCATTGAGCACCCTGAATTCTGTATGAAATTCGTCCATTTTCATGCAGTTTTTTCACACTTATTCCAAAGCGGAAAAGCGTATTGCCTAGAATGTGTGTGTACGTGTGTATATGTACTTTTATGTATATTGTATATGTGCATCTAGGGTATACGTACGTGTGCTTGTATGTGTGTGTGCGTGTGTGTGTATGTGTGCATAATTTTTATGTGTGCATATGTATGTGTGTATGCATGCATATGTATGTGTATGTTTCTCACAGACCGAAGTTTTGGCTGGAAAGGAGCTGAGACTTTGCTGGAAGGTAGAAATTGGCAGCAGGAGTGAGGCTTGTGAGGAGATGCCCTCTATGAAACTTTTGCGTTCGGCACGAAACTTGATGTTGAGGGAAAGTTAGGTCCAGTCGTGGTGTTGAGCTAAGATGTATATGTGTTAATGAGCCAAAACGTCTTAACTCGTTCGTACCTAATTCCTCCAACACCAGCTACACTTCTCTATCCAATATAACTCGTCCCATGCCTACTTTATTTAAGTTCTTCATATTACTTTCATGCTACAGTCAGCTTAGCCATTTCAAATGTGACCCACTTCCCGGCCCGCCCGAACCGGATTTTACGGGCTCCTACTAAAACTCGGTCGGCAACGCGGCATGCATTCATCTGTGGGTTCCGGTTCGACTTGCGAAGGTCTCGCTATAGGGTTTTTTTACCTTGAGTATTAAGCGTTGGGCTCGGGTTTCTGGTGCTGCATATTCGCGGGGTGGTACTTTTCGAGTCCTGAAGGCAGGCAGGTTAATCTATGATTCACTGATGGTGCAAAGCGCTACCCCCCTGGTGCCTTAATTCGAGGCCATGCTCGTTATTTTTACGTTTGGAATGCCGTAAGAAGCGTGAAAATAATGCAGTTGGGATCACCATTTGTGGAGTTGTATAGAAAAATCAATCTTTTAACTTACCATCAGCTTGCACATCGATTTCGCGAACTTTTGTGTATTTTAAATCTGTCCCACACTGGCGATCTCTTCATGAAGAAGTCATGCCTAAAAAACGCCTACTTACACTGTACTACTGGTTTTTGCAAATTAATTAGAAGATTATAAAAAAATCGTTGAATTTTTTCACGATTTCCCTGGCCATCTTTCCTCAGGCTGCGTCGCACTCGCTCGTTTTCGTATGCTTCATGCTGCTGCCTTTTCCTGATTTCTGCGTTTTGGCTTTTTCCGAGATGTGTCATGTTTCTTGTTTTCTCGATTTTTTGCAATATATTTCTTGCTGCCTTTTTTTTTTAAATGTATCGTATTCCCTCTTTCTCGACTTTTTTATGATTCACATTTTAACGTTTGTAAAAATCTGCAGCAGAAGTAATTATTTGTGTTTTTCCGGATCAGATGTAGGTTTTTTTTTTGGCGATTTTTTTGAAATAACCTAAGTATGGTTTTGAAAATTACAAAGGCTGTTGGTTTCAGGGCGTGGACATGGTCACTCGGATTCGTCACGTTCCCCCAGTCGTACGCCGGTGGTTGCTGAAGCAAAACCTGAACCGAAGAAACGACGCAAGAACACCGAGGTAATTGTATCTGTTGTCGTTTTTATTCGAGCCCATTTTCCTGGACACGCATTACCACTACACTGATTGATCAGCATACGCTTTTTCATTAATTGCCGATGCTATAAGCTGTTTTATCACTATAATATTTTGTGTTATCGCTGTCATAAACCATATTATATTTATTGCTGTATTTATTGTCATGCTGTTGTACTGCGTTATCACTCCACATTCGTGTGCCATTGATAGCTGGATTTAGTGATTAGCTGCATTATTTTTTGCTCTCAAAAAGCAAACAAACCTTTTGTGTGTCGAGAAAAAATGAAATTTTGGAATGAGAATTGCGTTCTGTTTTTCAGGTGGCAATGCTCCTAAATGATTTGACGGAAGTGGCCTGGAGTCATTTGGCCAGAAAGAGCACCAAGAAGATTATTGCGCCAACACAAACAAGGTACCTTTTTTGCGTTGCTTCACTGGAACATGTCATATTGCTTGATGATGAGGGCATACTGTGGTTTGCGGTATGGTGTAATGGCAGGGATCAATGCACTCACGCAAACGATCGATCGAGACCTTTACAGCGCTTGTATACATTTTCATGATTAATCGTAATTTTTGTAGTGAACTAGTTTTAGTGTAAATTTTGATTTTGAGGTTAATTATAAAATATGAGCTGATAAATGATTGCTGATTAATGATGTAAATTTTGATTTTGAGATTAATTTTTTGTAGAATTTGAGCTGACGAAGCACAATTATTGATGTATATTTATATTGCTAAAAAGAATAGTTAAACGTCACATTTGAAATAGAGACAAAAAAAAAAGAAGTCAAGCTTGCGGTATTTTACAGTAACAAACTGTTATTAGCGTTGATGGGATTTTTACCAAAACGAGCACAAAATGCATTCAAAGAGAGCTCACACGGAGTTTGGGGCTGCATTCCTCTCTAATTCAGCAGCTTGGGTGCAGCATCGCACATAGAAAAATCTGAAATTTCCCGAAAAGTCAAATGATTTTTAACGGACATACTGTATCTCAGAAATATCGAAGATTGCTGTGTTTCAGGAAAGTGTGCACAAGTGAGGCGAATGAGGAGGAAGAGGATAAGGAATGCTCCAGTAGTGAATCAGAAGATTCTGAGAAACCTCAAAAGAAGCCGAGCCATCAGCAGAGGAAAACAACTAAATCAGAAGCCAGCGCGGCTGTAAAAAGTGTTACATTTTCTAGAGCATCTGAGACTGCTCCAAAAGCGGGGCCTTCTGGACGGAGGCGAGGACGACCGCCGAAGGCGCCCGGTACCGCGGAACCGAAAAGCAAAGCACGCAAGAAAAAGACTACGAAAAAGTCCTCCAGTAGCAGTAGTTGTAACTCAGATTCCGAGCCTGAAGAGAAAAAGAAGAGCGTGAAAAAGACATTGCCGGCACCAAAAGATAGACCCATGTCGGCGGCTGAAAAAATTGAACTTGCACTTGGTATGGCAAGGAAAAAAAGGCCTAAGAAGCGATCTCCGGAGACTGACGATGATGATGATGATGAGGGCAGTAGTGCTGCATCATCGAGCTCTTCTTCATCATCATCAACACCACCAGCTCGTCGTACGTGGAGTGGAGCATCGCAACGAAAAACGGGTTCAACACCGGGAAGTAGAGGTGTTTCAAAGAAGAAAGTTGGGAGAACAGGCCGAACATCACGTGCTGCAGGTAGGGCTGCCCCACGAAAACGTACGGCTAAAGCCGCTGCAACTGCCGGCAGAAGAAGGCGCAAAAAGAAAAATCGGTCATCGTCGTCGAGTGAAAGTGGTAAGTGAGAAAAGGGATGAGTTGAAATGCGAATGAATGGTGTGAGTCACTACCTTATCCAGAAGCAGCAACGGAATGAGGGGCGGGGGAGCGAGCGAGAGCTAAATTTTATTGGATTTGCTTTTTATCCGGCAACGCATTCATTATAATTCTGCACTTATCTGTTTTCGCTTTTTTCGTTCAGCAGCAATTCAGTTTTTGCTTCTCCCTCTGTTAATGTGCTCAGCAAATGCTCGAATCTGCAGGTATTAGCACGAAACGAGTACATTTTCGTAAAACGCTTCCCTGAAATAAGTTGTTTCCCTGGAACCCACAAAAAACGTATTTTTATAAAATATGTTTCTTAAAAATGTACGTAAAACGAGGGAGAAGTAATTGGGAAGCTAATATGCTTGTGCCACTTGTGTGTCGATGCGGTAACGTGCGAGGTTTAACGTGTTAAAAAAAAAGCGAGGTTCTATTTGTAGCTCCGTTTGTTTGATGAAATGAGAAGTTCAGCAACAATCTTGTTTAACCTTTTCGATTAATTTACAGTTGCAGCCAGCATCCTGAATAATTCTAAAGATTAGGCGCTGGTTTTTTAAGGAGGGGAAGGGGCACGGCACAGCGGCAAGTAGCACTGCTGTCACGCAGAAAGTCGAAGGTTCGATTCCGGCTTTGGGACAACAGTCTTTCCACGATTCGTTCATTCGTTTCGACGATAAAGTAGTACAAGCACATAATAGGAAAACACCTCTCGAATGAGGAAGCCAGTGATGGCTGTGAAGATGGGGGTAACTCGTACTCTTGGCACATGTTATCACTCAGATCACTTCTGAGTACTTCCGTTTCTCACAGACAGTGGATACAAAGAGATATGTGATTTTTTGGCCTTTCATGCTTTACCTGAATTAAAGTGCTCCCTCCAGCATACGGTTCTTAGAACTAAATCAGAATTGCAAGAATTTGGAACTCACCAATAGGATTGTATTGAGGCATTTGCTGTGAATCTTCGTGCTCGAAATGCCGCAGCAGTGGCATATTGCCTTGGTGCAAGCCAATTGGGCATCCAGGTTGACCTTGGAAGCCTAAATGGCAGTTTGAGAACATTCTAAGGGATAGGAGTATGGCATGGGTCCAGCAACCATAAATAAATGTGAGTAAAAGTAAAATAAACGAAACACGTAACAAATATAAGTAGTACTTCCCTTTTGTTCATATTAAAAAAAAAAAAAAAACGAAGCGTTACGACCTCACGCGTTACAGTGCTGTATAATTTGGGTTTTCTTTTTTCCACTGTTTTTGCTGCCTTCACTCTTAACGCGCATTTTTTTGCCACAATTCCCACGGGAACACTTTTTATAATTTATTGCTTTTTATCGTCGGGAGCCATCGCTTTTTGTTAATTTTATAAAGGTGAATGGCCACCATGCATGGGCAACTTCATTACCACAGGCTTCTCACGATTCTTCATAAATTCGAAAGCGTCGTATGCACGAAGCATGTACGTCTGTGAACCCTCACAATGGAAAAGCTCTCGCGCCTTACGGATAATATATTCGCTTTCACGTAAAAAATTTGACGTTAACACTTTGTTTACTTAATGCACTCTCCAGCGTTTCGTGATCAAGGATAAGAGAACCGACAGATGTTCCGGTGGAAGACGCTTTCCATTGCAAATGGTTTAAATACAGTGAAGCTGAGCTTTTTTACGGTGACGGGTTACGGAAGCATACTTCACTCTTACCCTTTCACTATTTCCCAGAGTATAGGATCAGTTCCATATGTGAGAAAGACCAAATGTACTGGATATATGATGAAATTATCGAGATACCAGGCCAGAGTGCTGTGAGAGAAGTACGCATAGATGGATCCAGGATGGCCTCATGCCGAGGGGGAGGGGGCGACGGGGGGTGTGGAAGAGAGTTTTCTTCAGTTTTAGCTTTAGACCCTGACTTTTTTAGCACTGATACTTGTGCCGCTGGCGAGGGAGGCGAAAGGCCCATCGCCCCCCTCTCCTTGGATCCACCTTTGGACGTGCATTTGGAAGATATGAGTGGGAATCGGCAATAGTTTTTTCATCAGACGGAACGTGTGTGTATTTTCCTGTACGATGGTTTAAAAACAGCACGAATATATCTGTGCTCCAATACAACTGGCAAACATTAAGATGACTGAAAAAAAAAAAAGTTTAATCACTGGATATCTCAGGGAAGATACACAAGTAGGCGAAGTGAGCGAGTAATTGATGTTGGAGTGGAAATTTAGTTTGGTGAATAGACGGTACGATTCAGATGCGGCACTTCTTTTAAGCGGAATACGGAAGAAGGAGTTATTATAACAGCTTTGCCAGCCGGTGGTTATTGCTGCTGGTGTGCTAGCATTCGGGCTGTTTTGCGAATGCCTCCATCTTTTATAGGAGCGGTTTTTTTGACTTTTTTTTTTTCAAATATGACTGTTTTGATTTCTTCTGTCGGTCTGTTTATCCAGTTTTGAAGAAGGTATGCAAAAAGCCAGGGTTGAAGATCTGCTTGGGGGCAAATCATGGAGGAGTATCAGCTTAACTTATCCTTGAATGCGAAGTCCTGGTACGCTTCTGGAGTGTGTGTTGTGCTGGTTGTTGTGCCTTTGTTTATTTCTGTTATGAAGGTTCAAAATAAATATTTCCTTTCTTTTCTGGGTTTTT